CCCCAACCCCTATCCACCCCAACCAGATCGATCGGCGGCACTTTCTGCTCCCAATCCCGCGGCATCGCCCCTGAGACTCCCACCGCTGAAGCCCACACCGAGTTCCTCCTCCTCCTCCTCGTCTGCCGCTGCCGTCGCCTCCCGCCGAAGGACGCATGCTACGGGGCTCGGTTCTCGCGTACTTTCTCCGCTGATCCCGTCTGCTGCTCCTGGACTGGCGCGGACCTCCGGAAGGGACGCGATCCCTTTTGCTGGTAAGGAAGCCCTAGCTTGCTCAGATTATCGCGTGTTTTGTCTTCGCGCAGCGAGCAATTGAATCCAGCCAGATCCCTTTCTTCAAGATCGGTCTCAGTTGACCCTATTCTCATCGCTAGGACTGTCAAGGCCCCATCGCCCATGTATTTCGGCCCCTGAACTAATACTACTTTGAGATCCTGAACAATACCACTAGCACCAGTTTATTCTCCCCATGCCCCTGTGCCGGGGTGGGGATCGTTTATCAGTGTTCGAAGAGGCGGATGCCTAGGCGTGGGCAACACCCTCCTGCCTAGGTACCTAGTGCTGGCGTGTCTTCTGACTAGCGCCGTGGTGAATCATGGTACTTTGCCAGCTTGTTTTGCTACATGTGGGATCATTGATACTTCAGTTCAAAACTTAATAGGAACTATTTAGTTTTGATGGGGAAAAGTAGGGGTCAGAGTGACTTACCATTGTCTGGTCAAGTGAGTTTTCGGTAATATGTGAAATGGTGCTTCCTGTTTTGGTGTTTTTCCTTTGAACCAGTAATCAAAAGGAACTCTATATGTCTGTGATTTTTATAGCAGTAAATTCAGTGAATTGATTTGTGTAACTTCGAGATTTTGCATCTCAATTATAACTGTTGCTAGATGCTGCATTTTCTTTTGCTCCAAAATTGCCCAATGTTATGTCAACCTGCCCTGTCAGGAAGCTTTATTAGCATACTGGAGATTATGCAATCTCAAATTCTTTATAAAATATCCAGCATCGATTCATCCATGGTTAAATTGAAATAATTTATCGCTGGTTTTGTATGTTAGGCTACTGCAGTTTTTGATACATATCCACCTTTCAATGCATCGTGTCGGGAGTGCTGGAAACACAGCTGGTTCAAGTCGACCGAGAAAGGAGAAGCGCTTCACATATGTGCTCAATGATGCTGATAATAAAAAGGTCAGCCCCGCTTCAGTATTAACTAGTTGTTCTTAGGTATTGTAGTTAGCTTGAAACAGTTCTTGCTACACCCAAAAGTCCTCATGCATTTCCTTCTGCTTGTTTTTCAGCATTGTGCTGGAATCAACTGCTTGTCGTACCTGAATGCTTCTGCTTCTGGTACAAGTGATTATCTTTTTACTGGGAGTCGCGATGGTACCTTGAAGAGATGGGAATACCAAAATGGGGACGCAAACTTTTCAGCAACCTTTGAGTCACATGTTGATTGGGTATGTTTTTCTATGTACTCCTGCTCCAGCTGATTTTACATTTTGAAACCGCGGTATTGTCTCTATTTGAATTGCCATTGGATCATTTTCTTTTGTAATTTATTAGCTCAAGAGCATCAAACTAGATTTCAACATCAAATAGAGGGTGTTGTCATTACATTTTGTTAACATATTTATAGTTCGGTACAATCAATTCATTTCGGTTGTTCTTCCATCTTTGCCTTTTTTGGATATATTTTTTATTGTGCTGTTCGAGTCTGAAATTCTGTGTATCCTTTGTAAATGGGTGGGAGGCCATCCGGAGTTCTGGACAATACTTGGGAGCAGGGCCAGTCCTGTAACCTTTGCATATTTGCTAAATTATTTGTTACTTGTATCCACGTGAAACAAGATGGGCTGGATGGAAGATTCTCCTAGTCCTACATAGTTTTATTGTCCAATTATGAAAGTTAGGCAGTAGATTCTGTTAGTGGATGGAGAAATAAATCCGTCAGGACTTTGAACTGATACTTGCTTCCTGCTTACATGTGTTGACTCTCTTGTATCACTGCTGAAGTATTGCCTTGTTTTACAAGCTGCTATCTTTATTGTGCAGGTTAACGATGCCATTATTGTTGGCCAAAATCTTGTTTCCTGTTCCTCAGACACCACATTAAAGGTTTGTTGTTTCAGTGGCCCCTGTTTTTAGATATTTTTTGTCGTGCCTGCATGCCTTTTTGTTTCCTTTTTTTTTGGTTGCCTAACCAATATATGTTTGTGTGGCTATTTTTTCACAGCGTTATAAAATAAATTTGGCAGGCATGTTTCAGAAACCCCAAACTAAGCCCCAATACTTATTTTTTACAGGTGTGGAATTGCTTAGCAGATGGTGCTTGTACCAAGACTCTCCGCCAGCATTCTGATTATGTGATATGTCTTGCTGCGGCTGAAAAGAATGTATACATTGCCAGACCTATGACTATGTGGAAGTATTAGTTCTATATCTACTATATTTTATATGCTTTTTGTGCCTTCATTGTAGAGCAATATTGTAGCCTCTGGTGGCCTTGGTGGTGAGGTCTTCATATGGGATCTTGATGCTGCTATTGCACCTATAGCCAAATCTGTAGATGCAAAAGAGGATGAGGTTCCTAACGGAAACTCTGGACCTGCTTTGTCAACCTTGTGCAATGTAAATTCTAGTGGCAACATTGTTTCTACCAACGGAAAATCACATGGGTACTGTCCAATTGCTGCCAAAGGTCATAAGGATTCAGTTTATGCATTGGATATGAATGATACAGGGACATTGCTTGTCTCTGGTGGTACTGAAAAGGTATTGCACTATTCATTTTCAAGAGCAAGCATGTGATCCTTTAACTGCCATTTTATTTGGACCTTTTCTTATAGACTTCCTACTGGTTTGATATAGGTTGTTCGTGTTTGGGATCCCAGGACAGGTTCTAAGAACATGAAATTGAGAGGGCACACTGACAATATCAGGGCTTTGCTTATTGATTCCACTGGAAGGTTTGTGTTTAGGCATCATCAAAGTTCTCTCATAGATTCATCTAAGATAATGCATTGTCTGCAGATGAGTGGTTATGATGACATTAGATGTTTCAAAAGTGAATCATAGAACAGCTCAGACAATATTGTACCCATTTATGTGTTCCATATATACAACTTTGTAGACCATAAATTATCATCTGTACATGTTCCTGGCCTAGCATTTTTAGTTTCCTATAGTTGCAGTCAACAACAAGCCCTTTATATTTTGGAGAAAGGTTACTGCTGAATCATTATCTTTTGCAAATAATTATCCACTATCTTTTAAGTTGCATTAGTCACGTGATCAGTAGTTCAAAAGCCGTAACTTCACCACTGAAATCGATTGACTGCCCAAAGGGGACATTAATTGGCATGGTCATCATGCTGGTTACCATCCTAGTGGCAATGGTCAATGTCAGCCACTTCTATGTGTTATTAGTTGATGAGATGGAAATAACTCACATGGCAAAAAAACTGACTAGGATGCAGATGTTTGTTTGTGGGAGCTGATGTGTCATATTTGAAAGGAACATGTGGTTTTTGATGATTAAATTACCGATTTTGGCTGCAAGGTTTAAAAAATGGTGTTGACCAACACTAGATAATGTTGACAGGCTTTGTGGAACTTTGTTGAATCCCATCTATTTTCATTAGAAGTTTGAAACTAGTTAACACTGTATAACATATTTTTCCAGGTATTGTCTATCAGGCTCGTCTGACTCAATGATAAGGTAAATACAAAGTTCATATTTTCTGTATTTGGTCATGATGCCAAGTAGGGATGCAGGCGGATGCGTCCGTGAACGTCCACATGAATATTATTAACACATCACGATTATTAAAGTAACAGTGCATTAACTAATTTCCGGCATCGCGGACAATCACTGCGTCGCGGGCATGTTAGCCTGCATGCATAGATTCTGCAAATAATTTTTTGCATCTTGTCTAAATATGTTCATACTTTGCAGACTATGGGATCTAGGACAGCAACGCTGTGTGCATTCTTATGCCGTTCACACTGATTCGGTTTGGGCGCTCGCAAGCACCCCTTCATTTGGTCATGTTTATAGTGGTGGAAGAGATCAGTCCGTGAGTAAAATATCTCATTTTGTTGAATAATGCCTACAGTTCTAAATCCTGAACTTCTCTGTTTTCCGTTGGTACAGGTGTACCTGACAGACCTCTCCACACGAGAGAGTGTCTTACTATGCACAAATGAACACCCAATCCTACAGTTGTCCTTGCAAGATGATACAATATGGGTTGCAACAACTGATTCTTCTGTTTATGGATGGCCAGCTGAAGGGCAAACCCCACAAAAGGTTTTTCAAAAGGGAGGCTCATTCTTAGCTGGGAATTTGTCATTCTCAAGAGCAAGAGCTTCTTTAGAAGGATCAGCACCTGTAAGCATGACAGTTGCCATCTTTTCATCTGTTACGTTATTTTATCAGACACGTTATGTTCTGGCTTCTGAGCAGTGACGTCACATTTCTGAGATGCGCCATAATAATAAGTTAATAACTCATTATTTCCGAGACATGCAATCTGTGATGATAGTTTCATCTCCTATGGCTGACTAGTAATCGTGTACCTGCAATGCACGTTGCTATTATTTTGGATATTGGTTGCACGTTGATACTAGGTAGGATATTAACTGCGCGTTAATTACGTGGTTAGCACTCACCTAGATATTATGTATGATATTAATTGAATGCTAAACATGTTTGAGTGCTCAACGTTGGAGTAATCTAGGTTGTTTGATTGGCATGGTTTGATGGTCGAGATTAGTTGGATCTGCCCCTTTGAATCTTTATATTTGTATAGTTGGAGGACTTGTTTCAATAGAAACTATTTACATGTCTGTTAACTTTGGGGCAAATTATTCAAGATCTATGGCCATGTAATATTAACTTTGAGGTCTTGTTTTTCCCATGTTAACCAGCTATCTGTTTTTTCTCAGAGATGATGGCAAATAAACACTGGGTTTTTTTTTGCTACGTAATTTCTATGTTTATATTCTACTTTGGGCACTATTCAAAATTAATGCCAGATACACGTCAGTTTTTTTTAGCCTTTTGTCTTATATTATGTGCTTATGATATCAATGTTTCATTGATCTACTCAACTCTATACCTGTTTTTGCTTGACTGATCAGCAACAGTTACTTTTACTCGGTCATCTTGCACAGGTGTACATGTTAATAACTTCTATTTTCTAAACCACTCTAGGTGCCTGTATACAAAGAGCCATCTTTCACTATTCCTGGAGTTCCAGCTATAGTTCAACATGAGATCATGAATAATAGAAGGCATGTCCTGACAAAGGTGATTATAAGATATTTTCAAATTTGTCTTTGTTGTTATCAAACGCAACAAGTGGCATCATCCACCTTCATCCTATTTTACAGGATACTGTTGGTTCTGTTAAATTATGGGAGATTACTCGAGGAGCTGTTATCGAAGATTTTGGCAAGGTTCCTATTCCCTCTCGATGACTTGAGTGCACTTTTCCTCATGGATAATATACAAATGTTAAGAGCTAGCAGCATTGCTAGGTCGTATCCAAATTTGAGAAGCTCACAGTTCATATGGATCTCTTTGAACAAATTGGAAGGTTTGCTAGAATGTTAAGCCACTTCATTTTGCTTGCAGGTTTCGTTTGATGATAAGAAAAAGGAGTTATTTGAGATGGTATGACTGCCATTTTTTGTTTATGTTTTATTTAAAGATGCTCTTCATATTGCTATGTCACATCCTTCTCTATTTTAGGTTAGCATACCTGCATGGTTCACCATGGACGCTCGATTGGGGTGCCTGTCTGTTCACCTGGATACTCCACAATGCTTTTCTGCAGAAATATATGCGGTTGATTTGAATGTTACTGGAGCACAGGAAGATCTTAAGGTTTGCACGAAAACATATCATAATGCGGACTATGGTTATTTTTTGTTTTAAGCTTACTGTTCAGAAATTAGTTGGATCAGTAGTTCATCTATGTTCTTGAGTTGCAACGGAAATATCTTGTTATTAATATTTGTCATTTCATTTTTACTGTAAACCTTTCATTACACATATTAAAGAAATTCACTTTGCCATAGTATGGGCCACTAGCAAGTCATCTTCTGAACAGTTGTCCAAAAATTGTGCAGATTAATTTGGCTCATGAAACTCTTCGTGGTTTGTTAGTTCATTGGAGTAAACGAAGGCCGAAACCAGGCCCACACAGCTTGTCCAATGGTGATTCTTCAATAGGGAAAGATGTATCATTGAAAAACTTACCACATCCAAGATCCGACGTCGACGATGGAAGCGAAAACCATGCAAATAATGTGCTTCCCTCGTTTGAGTTCTCCACGGTTTCGCCTCCATCAATTATCACGGAAAGTTCTAGTGGAGGGCCTTGGAGAAAAAGAATTACCGATTTGGATGGAACCGAGGATGATTTGCCATGGTGGTGTGTGGACTGTGCTGAGAACGGCCGATTTCCAAAAGAGAACACAAAGTAATTTATCATCTCAACATGTTTTTATCCCGAGACGATATTTTTATTTTATATCTTTGAAACATGTTTCCCGTCCTTGGATATAGCTACCTTAGTAATTGGAGTAGCAAAGCATTTTAGAAGGCGAAACACTTTATTGCAGTAGTTTGCAAGCCCGTGTTATTGTGATGATGCTTAACTTTTAAATTGTTGCAAGTTTTTTGTTCTGGCCATTTTCTTATGACCTTCCAAGTCTTGAACCCAGTCAGTCATGGTATGTTTCCATACATATATTTTTCATGTAGCAGTGACAATGAATTTTGGAACTAAAACGATGATATATGATTTTGGTGTGGAGTGATTATCCATCCTTGAGCTCAAATATGCTAGTATGATTTTACTGTTTATTTATCCTTGAACTTCCGTGAAGCTGTATTACCTTCCCCAGACCCCACCTGGTGTGGGAGCTTCTAGCACTGGGTCTGTCTTTTTTTATTTCCTTCAGTTAATGATGTGATTATTTGTTCTGCAATATACCCTAATTGGGAGAACCACTTGCAGACTGAAAATTCGATCTCTCAGTAAATATGTTCCTGACACTGCTTCTCCTTTTGAAATGTAGGTGTGGCTTTTATTTGCATCCAGCCGAAGGCTCACCTGCACCAAACATAACGCAAGGGAAACTCAGCGCTCCACGGATACTGCGAGTTCTCAAAGTAAGATGTTACTGAAATCAGTTATCTAGAACAAAGTTAAAGATTTAAGTTGCAAAGGGTGAATTTCTCTCGACAAAAAAAGTGGCATAAGATGAAGGATGGAAGCAGCTTTGGCGATCCATGGAAGTACTATATGTCAATTGGTTACATACTCTCTCCGTCCCAAAATAAGTGTCTCAACCTGTACTAAGGTTGAGACACTTATTTTGGGACGGCGGGAGTACATGGGAAGAAACGTGGAGATAGCTAACTAGCTAGTTTTTTCTTATCTGCCTTTGTTTTTTGAGCACCTAACTACCTCGACAATAGGTGTCAAACGCTATTTTTCAGTACCCTAGCTGAATCATACAAATATTGATAATACGATACAGTCACATATTATGAACAAGTTATTGCTGTTGTTATTTATCATCTTATTTTATGTCATGTATTAAATTTGTTTGTGTGTACAGGTTGCTAACTATGTTGTTGAGAAGCTTGTTCTTGAGAAACCATTGGATGGAAGTCCGGACAGCACATTTGCCATGGGTTTGACCTCTGGCACATCAGCCCTAGATAGTTCTTCACGGCTTGGACTAAAGCCATGGCAAAAACTGAAACCTTCTGTCGAGATATTGTGCAACAACCAGGCAAGTATTCGTAAGGCATAATGGAAGCCCGCATTACATTTTGTGGTTTGAGAGCAAACTTATCATTGTGCAGTTGTGTTAAAGAATACTTTTTGCAGCAGGTTCTGTCACCTGAGATGAGTTTGGCGACGGTGAGGACATATATTTGGAAGAAGCCGGAGGATTTGATTCTTAATTACAGAGTGGTCCAATCAAGATGATTGCAACCTAAAATACATCCGCTCGTTTGGTTCACCATAGGTGCTGAGCATATCTGCATTGGAGACGGCATCGTTGAAGATGACCATATGACCTATAGGATGCAAGTGTTCCACTCTTGTGCTGCTCTTTGGTGCCGTTCCCAGAACTACAGCAACTTAATTCCTCTGTAAAGTTTTCCTGTGAATCTTGTATCTCCAGGCTTCTAGTAAGATTGTATCATAGCACAGGTGTAATGATCTGCTGGCTACCAGGCTTGTATATCTAGAGATTTGGATTTCTCAATAAAGCTTCTAAATGGGATAAAAGAAATTATTTGTTCCCCCTCCACGTACAAAATGATTTGATTGTAAGAAAACATTTTTTTCCGCTCCTGGACTTAACCCTGTTTCCATCGTCTTGGGATGAGGTGTAAGAGAATAAAATTATTCCAGGTAACTTTTTTTGCCTTCTGTTTTGCATTGTTCACTTGAAAGTCTGCAATGCTGTGTGCCGGGGCTCAAAATATTCAGGGCATTTGTCAGGTTGGTCAATTGTTGAAAAAGAGAATCTGAGTGTGTTTGGCATTGTAACAGATTGTCATGATAATTGAATATAGTCCAGCATTCAGGCCCTCTTTCTTTCCAATAAATTACATAGGAATCTTGGAGGAATCGAACTTATATGGCTTGTTTCATTGTATATTTGTATTACCTCCGTCCAAATTACTCCTAGATTTGTTTACTCTTAGATACGGAGGGAGTACTATTTGGATACACACTAGTAAGCATGCACGTGCAATGCACGTCTTGACTGAAAGCATGTTATACTATGGAACATAAATATTTCTATCATAACATAGAATAATTTTCTTATAGGATTTTAAATTTGATGCAAGGTGGATAGAATTCCCAAGTCATAAAGACGTGTCAGATTGTTTATGAACCAATGTGCCTCATACCCAAATAGGGAAACGTCAGGCGTTAGCTGGGCGATCACATTCAGCGACCACCCCCCTCCTGAGTTGTACGATCAGGACATGTGCGTCGTTGGATTTGCCCAACTACCCTAGCTCCCGTGCCCCCTCAGCACCACTTGTTGCGCCACTTCCCAATAGACGTCGGTCTCCCGCATCACTGCTTGCAGTGCCCCACTCCACAGCTCCATCGTAGTCGACGTTGGTCGCCCCGCGTCACCACTCGCATCAATGAAACACGGTGTTTGCAGCACCACCTCACTCGACACAGAATAGCTGTCGCCGGCTCACCAGTGCTTCTCGCCTCCCTCGCAGAATGGTGTCGGTCCGCTCGCAGTAGCAAACCAGCATGTTGCATTGATATCACATCTTTATCACCAAAATAAGGCTACTCATTACCTACAACTAATGTGGTTCAGTGGCTAGCCCTTCCCGGGCCATACTAAGCGACTACCCATACATAACCTGTCAGGTTTCCCGGGCCATACTAAGCAAGGACCCATACATAACCAAAAACCAAACCTGTCTAACAGACAATGCAGATGCCTAAGCTGGTGAAATATTATGTGGAGATCCTGACCAATAATTTGACATCATTTAGGGTTCATTCTTCCATGGTCAGGTCCTGACCAATGGAGGTATAACAAAATTTGCAATGTATCCATTTTAAATAGAATGTGCATCCTGTAACTTTCACAAAAAGTACAGGCATGTCCTATACCCAAATAAGACCAGGTCAACAAATTTTCTGAAAAATACAGGTAGTCATTCGAGATTGTAAGTCTATTAGTAGCTCTTCGATGACAAAATCTAATAGTGATCAGGATGGACATCCATCGTGTCTCTAATTTGGGGCTCTACTTAGCCTTTGTTTGTTTCGTATGAATTTAGGTGGTCCATCAAATTTTCATCTAAGCTCAATAAAACAGAGCCATGCATAGCCAGTCATTACACGGCCAATAGCAATTGTACACAAAATAGCTCACCCTGAACCGACAAAAGCATCAACTATGATCAGCAACGCATGTGAAATCACATCCTAAGTCCTAAAAGTATATGGCTACTGAATATCAGGGAACATGAAAGCAGCAAGGCAATGACAAATGGACCAGTTCCATGGCAGCATGATATCTCTGCCCTCCTATCCTTGTGAATCTTGGTTATTGGCAGGGAAAAACTTCTGAGTTGCCTTCCTTGGTTTGTGGGTATAGACCCCTGCAGTGTACAACTTTCTGTAGAAAAATGTAAAATGTTAACACTGTTCTAAATGGATTTGCTAATAAAACTCTAAATTCAAGTAGGTGTGAGTGCAAACCATGCAGAACCATTCTTTCAGCCAATCAACATCGTTTTAAAGCAAAAGAAATTGAGAAATAAAGAACACATCTACGCAGACCATGGCAAGTTGTCTCTGCATAATATACCGACAAACTTTGCAAACATGTATAGAAAAAGGACCTTATAAATCACGTACATATGAATATGTCTTCTCTAAATGTAGGCCCTAGTTGAGAAGCAAGCCAGATCTGGACATTCAGTAACTAAAGCCACAAACTTATCCACCTCTTCATCCTTGATCAACATATTCTATAAGATAGTAGTATATCTGTGTATGCAGTGAACAAGGCCCGTATGTTGCAACGGAAGAACACTCATGAATGTAATCAACTGAACTAAAAATTTTGCTAATATGTCTAGCATCACACACCTCTCCTCCTCGTTCTACCTCACCACAATTGCATTACATATTATGGTTATACATATCCTCAAACGTGTAAGAACTAATATTTTCTTTCTCACGTGTATGAAGAAATACTTACATTTACATGCTAGAAACAAATAGGATGAAAAGTACATATGTCGTTCATTGTTGTCCTTGTATAAAAACAGTACAAACAAAGACATAAACTCACTAATCCTTGTTGTCTGTCTTTATTTACAGAGCATTTAACCTCTGCCTCATTGAAAGTATTCAAAACACAGATTTCCGCAAACTATAGGTAAAAGCTCCAATTTCCACTAAAACAGGAACCAAATATTGCAGCATAACATTTTATCACTTAGTAGTTAGAAAGAACAAAAATTGAGCTATTATACCCAGTGAGTATAGTAATACCTTCAATTCTTCAAAGAACAAAAAATGAGCTATTATACTCGGTGAGTAAGCATATAATCATTCAAAGTAACCAAGGTCAGAGGTAAGCAGAAACTATAAATACCATGTGCTCTCGCTTCTTTCTGTACAAAAATACGCACCATTTTATACAAAAAACTGTACATGGTCAGGATTAAACTAATTGTGAACTCATAATCTGAACTTCAAAGAACCAAGTTTTCTTACTCTAAGACAAGAGTGTAAATAATGATATGTAAATGAATAATCATAATCTAAACCAAGTTCTCGTATGATGTGCAGGAGTTACATTTCAAAAACAGTTTGTAACGCATGGCAATACAATGTGATAATCAGGCTTCAGTCATAATGGGTGAAGAATGCCTACCAGTATATCTACATCTCAGGCCTAATAAGAAACAATGAAAATGCAGTCAAGATGGTGAACAAGCTAACTTTCTTTCCCATTGCATCTTTGATATAACCACGGTAGTGCGAACCAATGACTTTGAGCTTGTCAAATGGATGCTTCTCCCATAGTTCTTTATGCCCCCTTCAATACTTGTTCTCTTTGCTGCCTGCACATAGGAGCGGTTTAGATACCAAGACAACATAAGATATAATATATATCCATTCCGAAGCTTTCGACTTTAGTGGTGATACAATCTAGCTGCTATGATTACTCTAGTGGACATATAAACAGGACAAATGACAAGCCCTAGACATCAAATAAAGACTTTGTGGGAGGTAACATCCTTCTCGATATGATTTCATGAAAAGTCCCACATAGGGTTTATAAGTCTCAGCATGCGGCATGTACCTTTTGTCGATGTCAACATACTCAAATAGGAATAGGTCTTCTTCACCAAGTTCCAATGTAATAGGCTGTTGAGAAAAAAGATGCAATACCAAAAGTAAGAACGGTCTCTTGGCCAGTATATTCTGATAATTAGTCTAAAGGAGAAAAAACGCATAATGGGTGATAAATTAGTACAAAGATAAATAAAATTATAGAAATGTGGAAGAAAACCTCGACCTTAGGAGTTGCGGGAACCATAATCATTTTACCAGTTTCATAGCTCCCAATAAATGCAAACTGGGAGTTCATCCATCTCATCACCTGATGACCTCTTGGACTTAAGTAGAGATGATTTCTGAAACAAAATGTGAGATGTTTAACCTTGGCCTCACCCAAACACACTTCTGTACTTTCTTCCACAAATATATATTCAAATAGCTTGCATATAAATTGGTGTCAAAAAAGAGCCAACTTAATCAAATGGCCTTGCTGCATATAATCAATAACCTTCAAGGTATTTGGAAGTATATATTTGTTTTATGAAAACCCGTAATAAAGTTCTTTATTTGCATCTCTTGTTATAACCCAACTGAAATTTAATAAAATCTCTGAGGTGAAAAACATATATAAAATAACAGACAAAAATAAGTAGGATTGAGCACATCCCATGTGTTGTGTCAAGGGTAATTGTCAAGATTTTTAAGGACGACCCATCATGATCCTGCACAATGGTCTAGTTTAGTAAAGAAAATCAAAGTTCAGAAGCATGTTAACAAATAGCTGAGAAAGCATCTTGAAGCAGAGGAAATATCATGAGAGCTTGATTAACATTGTTCTCCACAAGTTGACTACTCCTTTTTTTTCAACATTGACCTCCATATGAAATATCTTATAAAGCATTGCAAGCTAGAAAATATGTAAGACACACTGGCAGAATAAAAAGAATGTACCTTGAGGCTCTTCTCATCCTTTTCTGGAATAGCTCTTCTCATCCTTTTCTAGAATAGCTTTTTTTTTAGCATAGTGCTTACCCGATGTTCTAGAAAAATCACTAATAACAGGAACAACAAAGATTACATTGCATCAAAGAAACAAAAAAAATGTAGCCAAGTAATTCTAGCATGGTACTACTTCA